ATTTACCCAATTGGAATGTACAGTTAATTTATCAACAACATCTATCAATGATGATCCATGTGTCCAATATTCATAAGCAGATCTATATAATATACGTTATTTATAAAAAAAAAAGAACAAAATTCGATCAGCGTTGTAAAATATATTTTGTTAAACCCCATACACTAGAAAATTATTTTAGATTATCAAATATTTTTTCGGATTTGTGCTAGTTATTACCGTCAAGCTAAAAATATTTCGTTTTTAAATTTTTTGCCTCCATCTTAACTCTCATAATTAAAGTAATTAGTTTTTTTTTTTGTAAATCTCACTTTAACAAAACCGATCGTGATGAATATAGTTTGAGATGATCGATATTGGAAAATGTACATAATAAAAATGGATCCTAGAATTGAAATATTTTATGAAAAATCTCATTTCATTTACAGATACACACACACCTGATCTGGTTTTCTTTCAATTGTCATACTCTCACGAAAACCAAACATTTCAGCCAAACTGAATAATTCCTATAATGTTTCAAGGTAAGAAAAAAAAACAAAGAATTATATTATATCCTTCGTCTTATTGATCACTACTCACAGATAGACGAAATTCGATCAGTTCATGAGCATAGAAAAGTAGATATCGAGGCATTTATATAATTAAATAAATTTTCTACAACAAAAATAATTAGAATCTCTATTGCACATGATTGACTTAGTATTTTCAGTCGTTAAAAATAAATTTGATGTTCATCTATATTTTATTTCACAGACAAACAAACAATACTCTGGTGAATATTTATTGCCAGAATAGAAGAAACTTAGAACAAAAAATGTTTACATAAAAAAAAAAACTATAGAACCACTAATTTAGTTCGAATAGTTTATCATCGATATTAATAATGTAGAGTTCATTTTTGCAGATATTTATTATAACATTAACCAGTTGTAATAACGTTCAAAAACAATAACAAGTCCAAAATTAAACAAAACAAAAATATATCAAAAATATAAGATTTCATCCTGCTTGTGAATACTATTGCAACATAACTGATCTTCTTATCTTTATTATTTGACAATAATGATATAATAATAATGCCAGTTGGCAATAACCAAATCGATTTTTCGTTAGATATATATTCTAACGAATGCTTCGATTTCTCTTCTGCATATTGGACATGATCGTAATGAATGACCACATGCGACACATGTTGCCATGTGCCCACATGGTATACAAGCTAATCGCTTTTCTTCTGTCAAACAAAGAACACATGGATTGGATGGTGTTGCATTAGTTGATTGGTTTTGATCATTGACAGTACTTGTTTGTTTAGTTGTTTTTGTTTCACGTTCATTACCACTGGTTGTTGATTTTGATGTTGAATCAATTGACGATTGAGAAGATGTCGATTCGTTTGTTAATGATTGAGATGATGTTGTCATTTCAACATCTGATGAATTTGGTACTAATTGAGCTGTATTAGATATTGTTGTTGGCTGTTCATGTATTCGTGCTTCAACAAAAATGAAAAAGTAGATGTTGCAAATATTCCTATGTGAATCTTACCATTTTGTTCTCGAATTTGTTTCATTTTTATACTTGGTATAACAATGTTCTCTTTTTTACCATCAATATGTTCAATTTGTTTTTGAAGAATTAAACAAGCGATATACAAATCGCATTCAGATACAAAGTCATCGTCTACAAAAAGAAACTAATGTTCGAAAAATTCTACTATTTTATTTTATTTACTCACGTTTTATCCGTAATTGATCTTCCCAACATCGTTTAATAATTGATAATTTAAAATTTTGATCTAATAAACGTTGTGATATTGGTAAATCTAATCGAGCAGCAACAAGTCTCGATAAAGTACTTTCATCGGGTATTAATAATAGTCGACTATTGGATGTTGGATTAGTAGTTACCACCTCACCAGAACCTGTTCTTTCTTTTAATTCATTGGCACGAGCACGTTCTAGACATAAAAACAAAAAAAAAGGATTAAATTTTTATAATTTTTCAAAACATACCTTGTTGTGCTCGTTTAGATTCTTGAATTTTTCGATATAAATCATCACCACATAATTGTCGAGCATATGCACAATGTGGAAACCAACGTGCATGTTCAATCATTGGATTATCATTTGGACCCCAATTTTGTAATGATCCATTACAATAAAAACAAGTAACAATAGTTTTTGTACCTGTATAAAAAAATCCTGCTCGAACTAAATCATCTACTGATGGTAAATCTTCGGTTGGCCATGTTGCAAATGATGCATGACGTTTTGGTATTTCTGAATAAGCTGGATTACATGAAGCTGTAAATACAATATCATTAGATCGTAAGGGACCGAGATTATGACATGTTGATAAACGATTATCTCCGCTTGCACTCGTTGTACCTTCATTGACGATTATTATAGATGAAGCTGAAGGACGTATCAATTTGGCTTTGACATATATACAATTAGATGAAAGTGTTTTATGTACTTCACATGGATCATCTGTATGTGGTGTCCATTGTTGACAAATAAGATTACAATAAATACATATTACTCGATCACCAACATTGCAATTAAAAAATCCAGCTTCCATCATTTGTGCACTTGATGGAATAGTACGATGTGGCCAGTGAGAAAATGTACGTCTCCGCACTTGTTGAAGTAAACTTGTTTCAAGTAAACTGTTTGAGACAGATTCTGAATCAGTTGTTTCGATCCTTTGGCGTTTAGAAGGATTCCCTTGTTCATTTGATATCGACGTGTTTCGAACAGTAGTTGTTGACGAAACGGAAGAGGCAGGTACATTTGACAACGAAGATGGTATTATAGTGCAGATGAATGGACAATCAGGTCTCTGTTTTGAATGAATAGTAAATGGATTCATATCTGATCTCCAGTTAGATACCTCAAGTCCACAGTCCTTGCATCGAGCTGTATCTCCATTACCTGTATATTCAAATCCGACGGCAGACATATGGCATACAGTGTAAACGCCTAGTCTTTTTGTTGATTTAGCTAATGATTGAATTCGATGGCGGATACTAGCCAAAGTTGGTGAATCTTCTTTCTTCTTAACACACAATTTTGATGAAGCATCCATGGATTCGAATTTATGAGATGGATCACTCAGAACATCAGTTGGCAGTCTGGATAAGGTTGACATTGTATATTAGTTGTATAGTAGGTAAAATCTGAAAAAAATCTAATATATAAATATATAATTTTTGGTTCCTTGGAAGTTTCGAGTAGATTTAAATTATTCAACTAATCTCATTAAGTATTTCTTGAAGCATAAAAACGGAAGAATCGAATCTACCCTAGATGGTATTTGAATTTCATTGGACTATGAAATGCAATGCGAAGTATGGAATGCTGAAAACAATCCGACATCTCATACAAAAAACGAACGAGCGATCATTCTTACAATTGATTACGAAACGTTTTTCACCAAAAAGATATTATTTACTATTTCCTAGAACTATACCTTTTATTTCTGTCATTCTAAAACAAAAAGACTATTTTCCAATACTCAGCTAGAAATCTGCATTACAATCAAGATCGTAACCATAAAAAAAGGAAAAATTTTTCACAACAGTATTTTCGAATGAAGTTAGATGAACAGCTCGAATTGAAGGTTTTGTTCAGAATTTTCTCCTCTTCAAAATACCATTTAAGACATAAGGATAGAACGATCTTCGGCAGAGAAAAATGCAGCATTTTTCTCTGCCGAAGGTCGTTCTATTATCGCATCTTAAACGGTATTTTGAAGAAAAGAAAATTCTTAACGAAATCTTCAACTCGAGTTATTCGTCTAACCTCATTCGAAAATAGTGTAGTAAAAAACTTTTCTGTGCTCTTTTTTGTCTCAATCGTGATCGTGATACAGAAAACTACACTCACTTATTCAAACTCAAAATTGATATTTTGAAATTAATTCTACCTCTTCTAATGATTCTGTGCTCGTTTCACTTCGAACTCAAATTTTACACTTTTAACACTTATAATACTCTAGTGCAAAATTTATAAACACCAAATAACCTCTTGTCCGAAAGTTCGAGTTCTTGCCTAAGGAATAGAAAAAAATGCGTAACTATTTTTTTTTTGATTATGTAATAAAATTTCATATTGTCATATGCCTTAAAACTTGGCTAAAATCGATTTGAATGGTACCAAAGAAAGGTACATTACTTATATAGAATTTTATACATTCACCTGGTTCTAGTATACCCTCGATCATCAAAACAAAAACGTAGAAAGTGTTGGAAAATTCCAATATATAATGTACTCTCTTTTTCAAGTTGGAAATTTCCAAGCGTAGGCGGGCAGAAAGAAAAAGAAAAAAAAGAAAGAGTATGTTTCATTCATCCGATCCATCGGACGAGATTGGTGAAAAAAAAGAACCATAAAAAATACCAACATGTGGCGTAACCTAACAGATGTAAAGAATAAATCATAACGATAAATTTTAACTATATATATTAGTAAAATGTACTTTAAAAGGTTAGTAATTATTTGAACAACGCAATTAATATTTCAATTCTGGAAGTGACGAATTTTGTTTGTCGGAAATAAATAAAAGTGTGTCGCCTCGGTCAATATAATTCAAAATTGTCATGTTGATAGTAGCGATATTTGTCTTCCAACAAACAAAGGTGTTTTATTGCTATCGGCTAATATCATTTAATCTAAAATCTAGATTACTGTAAGAAAATTTCTGTTTTGTTTTATTATAAAATAGTAATTTAGGAGTCCTAGTTCACTTTGAACAGCGTTCGCACGGATTGGTGTGATGAATACACCACACAGCACTGAATAAGGATGAGAAATCTATCTAAAGTAAACAAGCGTATAGGTGAAACAAGCATTCAGAAATATTTTTTGTTACAGTAGAAGAATTTTCGAATACTCTGAATGCAAATGTCCACATAGTTTCATTTGGTCTCGACCATTTAAAAAACTAAAAATTAAAAAATATGAATCATGTTAGGTGCAATAATGAGAAATTTCGACTATTAAATAGATGAGTCATAGATATTTACGCAAGTTTTACTCATAATCTTTTAGGGTTACATAACTGAATTCTCTGCAAATATATTTTGCTTTTGATATTGAAGCAAGATAATTGATCTTTACGCAATAATTATTCACTGTTTCTTTTATTCGTCGCAATGGAAACTTCCAACTTATGATGCATTTGTTTATGTGTAGATGATTGTCAAGGACTACTCATCAATTGCAGCATGAAACAATTTTCAAAACATTTTTCAACATTTTATGTTTATAGCAATGCCTCTTTCGACTTATTGAGAAAGTTTTCTTGATCGAAATGAAAAATGTCAAATGAATAATTATAGGAGAAGATGTGAGTATGAATATAGGTCAAAAAAAGACAGAAGCCACACTGACATCTCACACTTCTCTAATAATGTCTATAAAAATTATTTTTCCATAACTAACAAAGAAACCCCTTGGACTGATACCTACCGTTTGAGTTATAATGTACCTACAAGAATGTCTTGTTGAGACTAACAAAAGTCTGAAAAAGTTTATCTCTATGGACTTTTACAGCTGAGTTATGATTGTTTTACTGAATTTGTGATCCAACTTTTTAGGTACGTACTAAAAAATCCGAAAAGAATGTTCTTTTGTTGAGATATTGAATTGTTCAAGTAAACCCAATTTTTCAATCATGTGTGTAGCAAACAATTATTTTTTTTTTTTTTGGAATTTAATATCTCAACAATAATAAATTCTTTTCGGTTGAAACTTTCAGGATATTAAATAGTTTATTAGATCTACCTGTGAGCAAAATTGTACATCAAAATTTTAGTTATTGTTTTTTTTTGCTGGTACATACCTAAAGTAGGATTGATAAAATTCAGTAAAATAATTATAACTTGACTTCAAAGAACTCTAAAAATAAGCCTTTTAAGACTTCCTCTAATTCCACAAGATAACCTTATAGACCCAATATAAACTGAAATGATGAATATTAGTTCGAGTATCTCCCTACTAATGTAATTAAGAAGAATACCTGACATAGAAATTATTCACTACAGTATTTACGTTTATTTATCTATTTATTTATTACAGTTGATTGGATAAAGTCGTGCGTTTCTTTTCGATTGTATGATGTCAGTAACACTCATACTTAATCTCCGAATAGTGCGCACTGTACGATTAGAACTAAACATACACAACCACGTGGGAATGAGTAATCAAATGATAGACAAATCGATAAGTAGTAAGAATAATAAGAATAAGTCATGCACATGATTCAAAGTGTATCGTGACAACAAAAAACAAACGATAGAAAACATTCTTCTAAGTAAAATAAATGAGCCGGGTAATTTTTTCAACTAATATTCATGCTAACAAAATACATGACTTTTTCTTCAGTATATTTCAAAAATTTCAGCTATAATTGAGAAAATTACAACTATGACTCGTTTATTCCTTTTTATGCTTATTCTATCTTTATGTTTTTTTTAGCCTCAATATTTACAAAATAAATAGAATATTATTGCCTTTTCACTATATTGGAAATATTTTTGGTCAAAACCTATAAAACTATATTCATTATGAAAATGTTGACATTAACAAACAATGAAAGAAGAACAAAAAATTTTTCTTGAAGGTTACACAAGAGTCAAAACAATAACTATTATTGTAATTTTTTCAATGTGTACCGCTGAAACTTTTGAAATCTACTGAGCAGATATAGTCATGTCAATATAAATCCAAAACGATCTATATAACATAAAAAAAGTAATTGAAAATATTACGTACGTCATTTATATTGCGCATAAGGATATATCGAAATATTTCTCAGACGAATATTTGAAAAATATCTTCGAATTCAATTAACGAGAAATCGTTTTTTTTTTTCTAATAATATATGGCTTATATTATATGAAATTACAACAAAATTGAATTATAATCTATATTACATATTATAATTCGGTTTGAATGTGATTTTTATAAATAGTTTGGAATAATTTAATGTAATTCCTACACTATGTAAGACTATTTAATTGAAAATAAAAATAGATCTATTATGAATTAAACGGAAAAAAATATGGTAATTAAACGTCAATGTAATGGTTTCGATTGAATGATATAAATATTAATAACGCAGAATGACGAATGATTATATACATCAGATAGATCCAGTCATGATGATAGTGCAAAATATAGATGAATTTCCCATTAAAAAATTTCACTCAACGTACTGTAGTAAAACGGAAATGTGTCTCACCTTGTCATATATGACGAAGCAATTTTTCTGTATGAGCATAGCATATACAAAAAAAGTAAAAAACATAAATTATTTTCTTCGTGAATGTTAATTGATTAGTTTGTTGTTTTTACTTGATACAATAAAATTCACGAATATTTAATACTAAATTATCATTTTCAAATGAATGTTCTGATATTTTTATATATGAATTAAAAGTTATAGTATTATTCGTATTTCTCTTTATTAGAAGTTTAAAACTATGCTTACATATAAAATCTTCTAAGTCAATGCTTTGAATAATTGTTGAGATTATATAAACATTCTAATTGAATTCAATAACATGAATATTTCTCGTAGATTTACTATTGTTTTGTTTTTGAGTCATTCTAATTATCTTGTGTAACGAAAATAAGATAAATCATTTGTTTAACGTTAAAACATTTATGATTTATATCTAAGCGAAATTTAATTGAAAAAAAAAAGAATTTACTTGAAAGATTTATCTTACTTTAAGACGTAAAAAATCGAAAAATAATTTGATTCTATTGAAAATAATCATCATGCCATTAAGATTAATTTACCTTTAGTATCTACAAATGATGTGAAACGTGTTTGACGGTACCAAAAAAAACAAAAGATTTGATTAAAAGAAAACTATTTCTGACGGTGTTAATCAATTGAAAAAAAAACTAGATTCCCAATCCGTTATGAACAAACAGATAACTAAAAAATGTAATACTTTGTAATATGACATAGAACGAAAAAGGTTGAAGGTAAATGAAATGCACTTACGACAAATGCATGAAAGAAAAATAACAACAGATGAATACTATCGTTTATAAGGATGGGGTCGATGTCAGGGCGAAGATGTGGATAATGATGAGAGTCGACTTCAATGAATATGGTCCTCTATTCCGTTATCTTCCGTATAATCTGCTTTATGATCTCTTCAACAAACATTGATAAAACAAAAAAACAAGCTACTAAGCCTTTTCTAAAAGAAATCAAAAGTCCAACTAAATCTCAAACGAAATCAAACTTTATTTATGATATTTTCTTTTCTGTACATTCGAATCCGTCATAAATACCAAACATGAAAGTTGAATTCAATTACTAAAGAATTAAAAGAAAAATTTGCTCGTATAACTAACCTTTTATATCTGTGTCGTGATATGGAAGTACGTAGTGCTTCTCGAGAATGTCGCGATACTTACACATCTCTCTCTATATATATATAGGGAAGTCGACATTTTTTTTGTGTCTTGACACTAATAAAAAGAATGTACTTAGAAACGGTCAGGGGAGATTGGAAATTTTCTTTATTATTATTTCCCATCGAAACGATAAACAGAGATGAAATATTCCTATCTACTAAATCCCCATAACATTCTCAGATAGTAAATAAGAGAAAGAAGTTCGACTCCGATGTGTACCGACAACTCAGAGCTCGAATGCAACAGTCCTTATCGACATGAATGTCTATTACTTTATTGCACAACTTCAGCTGTGTTTAGTTTATAGTTTACATACGTTTTTTATAATGCATAGAATAAAAGAACAAGGTCTGACAATATAGCAATACGAAACATAAGAATGAAAGAACAGTTATTTTCAAAATGAAGTAATATGATTGGCAAAAAAAAACCATGTGACAAATATCTATCGAAATTAATAACTCATCTAAAAAATAGATAAATAAGAACACATTGATTGAATACATATCGAATAGAATGACAACAAAAGTCTATGATAATATATTATTTTAAGAGTAACAAGAATCTTTTATTATTTGATGTGAAGATCAAAGATTTTATTCCATAGAAATTAGAATTTCATTTTATTTTCTTACTTCTTAAAAACCCTAACTTTTCAATTTTTTTTCAAATTTCGATCATTGTTATTCATATGTTATCATGCATGGAAAGGGCTTTATATAAAAATATTCTACAACATGCAGTTTCTATTATCGTTTGTATACACTCATTTAAATCAATGCACGAAACGACTGCAGCTCTTGGAAATTTCCAACCATTATTTGCAATGACATTAATAACAGCCTTTACCTTTATATTAATAACCATTTTTTTCCACTTCATCTTGTCGACTTTATCGTACTGTTTGGTTGGATTTTTCTCGCACTGTACGTGACGTCATACTTTTTCACATACTATGAAATGAAAATATTTGCTTTGCCTGTAATTTAGTGCCTACGCAACATCTTTTCTGCATTCTAATTAACTAGTGAGCATTGAAAAATGTTAATTATATTTTTGTATAATTAATTCTGATTCTTCATTTTCATTTAATTTGTTTTTAAACTTACTGACGTTCTGTTAACGAAGCTGACGTCAACCAATTGTAGATAATATGTAAACACGTCATTGTGACTCATAGATATACGTAATTTACTTCTTCTTTTCTCTAGAATGTTTTTTAACAATGAAAAGTTGGAAACAAAAATTCATACTCATGACTTCCTTTTTATCTTTCTACTACAAATAAATTGTAAAGAAGAAAAATAATAAAACATGAAGTGAATAATCCATGTATGTACTTTAGAATTCTTTGTCGACATTTTATATATCGGTTGCTACAGTTACGTTTGTTAACGAAACATTACTAAATCTAGAAAAAAAATTTCACTGACGTCAATAAACAAGAAGAATAAAAATTAGTTATACAAAATATTTTCTAAACGAGAAATCAATCATAGATTTGGTAAGCTGGAATTATATTTTCATAATATATATTTACATCTTCACTAAATGTATAGGTAAAACAGTTCAAAAAAAAAAAGAATTCATTGTACTCTTGTTTGAATCGACCCAAATAGCCAAACGTGGAAAAATATAATCACCACATAGAATTTTGATACTAAAACTTTTTTTTTCTATATAATTAGAAGATTTTGAAATGATTGAAATGAAGCGTCCTAATACATAAGGCAGTTTTAGTCAAGGGTTTGTCAATGATCATTTTTCAAGTTCAACGATACCATATCCTCCTATCATCTCTTCAGTAAAAAGGCCAAATAGTTTTTTACAATCTATCTGTTCAAAAGAGGCTGACCTTTTGCGCCAAGTAGTACAAACATGTAGAGCATTATTACAAAGACAAGGCGTGCATACTATTATAAGTATGGCTTCTGCCGGATTCTATTATACAAGTATAGGTGATACAGTCCGTTGTGATACTTGTGAATTAGAAGTATCTGGATGGGCGTTAGATATGAAGCCATTTGCTATTCATGCACAACGCAGCCCCAAATGTGCATTTGTTCGCTCAATTCTATTTGATGATATGACTCCTAAATCATTAACGATAAATCTTCGTGAAATGAATTCGGTGTTAATAAATGATGAAAAGTCATCTAAACATCAAAAAATTGAAGCAACACAAGTTATTTGTCAGCCACATAGATTTATCGAAATTGACAAAATAAAGCAAATACGAAAACGAACTTTTTCACATTGGTCACATCGAACATCACCTTCAAGTCAACAAATGATTGAAGCTGGTTTCTTCAATTGTAATGTTGATGGTCGTGTCATTTGTTTATGTTGTAATCTTATTTGTCAAAAATGGACACCACATACAGATGATCCATGTCAAATACATAAAACACTTTCTCCTAAATGTCCATATGCTATTTCAATGTTAGAGAATCAATCAATATCATCAGTTCATATCATTAATGAACAGGTCATGATAGATACCCCTATAGTGACAACAAATAATAATACATGTCAGAGTAATAAGATTGTTGACCCTCCTATATGCCATACAAATTATATTGAAATCCCTATGCGTCATGCTTCTTTTGCTACATGGTCGAATGAAAATTTACCGTCTGTTGATGATCTGGTGAAGGCTGGGTTTTTTTGTACTGGCAATACAATTATTGTGACATGTTTTTATTGTAATGGATCATTACAGAACTTCGGAGCAAACGAAAATCCAATCGTTGAACATATTCGATGGTTTCCACATTGTGCATTTGCTAAAGAGTTGTGTGGTCCAGAGCTGTATCAAGAAATTCAACAAGTTGAAGGAAGTATAGACTATTTGATAAAGAAACATGAAAGAAATTGATATTATTTCATTCTAGGACATGACAATGATGAGGATGATGAAGTCTTTTCTCACCTCATATTAGAAGTCGTCTTGATTTATCGATCTCGCAAAATTTAATTGCTCAAGGTTTCCACTTATCAATCATCAAACGTTGTTGTAAAGATCAATTCGATTTAAAACGTAAGATGGTTGTTTGTTTTTCATTCCTTAGAGAGGAAATAAATGAAATTCTATTTAACTCCTATGTCAGATGATGATTTTGCTGATGATTCCGATCTTCTAGTAGCTTGCATGATTCTTCAAAAACAAATTGAACGTATTGATAATAAGAAAGAAAAGATTATTATTCCGAATATAAAAATGAACGAGATTCGTCTACGAGAACAAACAGGTATTTGTAGTTCAACTTATATATGATCGATAGTTCAGTTACATAATCTTGCAGAAAACTTGGCTCATGCAAAAGTATTATCAAACTCTCAGGATAACACTAATATTGAAATGGCAACCTCATCACAACATATCAGAAGAGAAGCGAATGTGGTTGATCAACAAAATGAATCACCACCACGATGGAGTTTTTGTGTCATATGTTGGAAAGAAGAGAAGTATCTTGCGTGCATACCTTGTGGTCATTTAGCTGTGTGTATTTCTTGTGGTCATTCTCTTCAAATATGTCCATTATGTAAAAGAAATATTGAATCTTTCGTACGCATATATGAGCATGAACAATTAGTATCGACTATTAAGAGAAACAGGAACATTTTGATTTTTCTGATTGAACATTTTATTAAAATTTTGATTTGGAAACTTTTTCGATTGAATATAAATAAAATATTAAGAAATCAGAACAAGACGAGAATTCCTATCTGAAATATATCATTTATTCTAATCTATACATCTAGTAGAACTCCTTGAGTTAGTTCTGAACTCGGTCGAATCCGAGTTCGGATCCGAAAATTTTGAATCCGATGAATTCTAACACTGTAACTTACTACCCACTTTCAAGAAAGTAGAATTACGTATTGCCTTGAAGAAAAATGCTCCTACTTAATGAATGCAATTGATGCAAAGATTTTCCAGGTTTTTTTTTCGATTTGCTTTGAAACTTCAAAAACATTAAATGAATATTTTTGTCATGAAACAAGATTGGTTAATGTAATTGTTTTTATCTTTTAATCATTTACGGATGACTATTTTTACATAGAAATAAATAATTAGACATTCCTCTGGTTCTTTTTATGAACAAAGAATATTATTCAACATTATTCAATATTCAGAAATTATTTATAATCTATAAAACAAAACACGAAAAAAAAATTTGCCTCTGATTTATTTTTTAAGTACTCCTTCAAAAAATCGGTTCAACGATGTATACTGTGCGTTTCAATTGAATTTTCTCCTTTTGTTTTTCTTGCTTAACCACTAAAAGTCGAATGTGCCTTCCAAGGGACATTCTGTATCTGTACAAGAAAAAAAAAGATTTCTTGTTTTAAACTTTAGTACAAGCATGGTGAGGGTTCAGAGTCACCATTCTTATGATCAAGTTTCTCTCACTATTGACAGATTGCTCTAGGGCTTTTAACGGTATTGTACATTGTAGTAAAAAAAAAACTATACCATATATTTTTTCTGATGTATTGTTTTTTGTTCTCGGAACTTTACGTGTTATTTATTATTAATATATCAAGCGATGCAGTGAAGTTGGTACTTTCTCAGTACATATCAATTATGGATAAAAAAAAGTACAGTAGTCTTAAGCAAGAAAAACAAAGGAAGGAATTCAGTTGAGTCGACCACTGTAAATACATAGACGAATACCAACAAAGACTCAAATTCCAGACTGATTTTCAATTATTTAATGTATGATGAAAATTACTTATTTGTCTTGAGAATACACATTCCCACACGTTTTATATTTCTCATATGAAAACTGTACAAGCTTAAAAATTAATTTTTAAAAAATAATAATGAATTTTTAAAAAAATTTACACATATAACTAAACATATAAGTCAATGATTTTTCTTTCTCTTACCATTTTGTAGACTTTAGAATTGACTTTAAACATACTGATAAAGTATTATTTTTCAACTGTCAATGCCCTCGATAAATTTATATAAGAATACAAACGATAAAAGAAAATGAATAACAGTATTTTTTTGATATCGTTTTCTTATGTTCTAAAACAAACTAAAAAAAAGAATAATATTGGCCACGGTTTCATTCAATATACATCAAAGAAAGTAGATAATGAATGATAACATGTATGAAACTAACTATTATCATTTGACTTATAAATTAGGGTTGCATCTTTCTTTTCATTTCTTTCGAAACATGTACATTTTTACGAAACTCTGTTCTTGTTTATTCTATTTTGTAAGAGTGTTAATCTCAAAATATCAAAAAATATTATGTCCAATATTGTTGGGATGTGTTGAAGGACTATATTAGTTTTATTATTTATGATCATAGTTCAAACCTTAAAGTACATTACTATTTTTCTTCTTAAATATTTAGTCGTCTCGTCGTTCTCAGCCGACAAATACAAATATGTTTTTATGGCATATTTCTCTTCTGTCTTTGAATAATTGCACACAGATACATCAGATAGATTCTTCCTTATATGTGATAAAATTAAATTATAATAGACGTTTTTTTTGCGTAGGAGATTTCCCATTTCATACTTTATATTTTTTTTCTTCAGACAAAAATATTAAATTTCTTTGTTTCATAACCATTTATATATTAGTAGTATAGACATGTTCTTTTTCTATAAAAAACATTAAAGAATTTTGGTTCTTTTCAAAATTTAATTCCCATTGATATATATATATTATTATTTTCATAATGAATACAGATTTAATTTTATAAAATTTTTTCAACAACAATAACAACGACAGCATTCTAGCAGTTGTTTATTTCTAATGATTAAAAAAGTGTAATGTTTCAAGAATCTTTATTAACAAATTTTATTAATATTATATATAAAATAAAAATTTCTTGGAAATTTCTTTTATTTCTTTTAATTATTTTAAAATTTTCTTCTACATATGCCGCTTCAATAACAACATTATCATCATCAACTTATCATCATTTTGAATTAATATCAAATAATTCTTATCGTAATTTTTTTCTAAGACAGTATTTTATTGATTTACTTAATATTTCTCATTCAGCACTTGTTCAATCAATGATTATAAATCATCATTTAACAACAAAATTAGAACAAAGTTTGTATTTTAATAAGTATTTCTTTTATTTTTGGAAATTTCTTTAATTTATTTTCTAGTTAAAAATCGAAAACGTAGATCTATAACTAATAAATCATTCTCTTTAACTCCAACTTTTACATTACATTCAACAAATTGCTTAATATTAAATAATAATCAAGTTCAATCAACATTTCAATGGTCTCATTCAATAGAATCCTTATCTTCTGTTGAACTTATTTATCATATTGATTCAATTGAAATAAAAAAATCTTCAATACCTATACATATTTCAATAAAACAATCACAAACATTTATTGAATTATTTTCCATTGATACATATTTATATTTTGATTCTGCTCGAGATTTTTATTTTCTTATTATATATGATTATCTTTCAAAAATAAATAAACAAAATTTAATTATTGAAACAATTATTAATAATCAAACATGTCAAACATTACATACATATATAATAATATCATCAGTAAAATCTAATCAATTATCTTCATATAATTTTCAACAAACAACAACAACAATATGTAAAATAAAAACGATTCAAATTAAATTTGAAGAACTCGGTTTAGCTTATTTAATAATTAGACCAAAAGAATATACATTTACTTATTGTGATGGTTCATGTACAAATTTAACATTTCAACAACAATTACAACAATCATCTATTTATGCATTAATACAATCAATTATTAGTAAAAAATATTCTAATATTCCTCAACAAAATTGTGTACCATCACAATTTGCTGATGATAATTTTCTTCTTCGACAAATAGATGGATCTATGGGAATATATCCAATTAAAGATGTTATTGTTAAGCAATGTGCTTGTCTGTAATTTTATTATTTGTTTTATTAGTGAAAAAAAAAAGGAAAAGAAAATGAAGACGTCTAACGATTGTAACAGCTACATGATCAAGTGTATTAAACAAAAACAAATTTATAAATGAATCAAAGTTAGAATGGATAAAAACTGATTATTTGATATAATGATTTATTGAAGAAAATTGACCGTATTTCAAAAAAAAGGACCATCGTGCAATACAACCTGAATTTTCTTCAACGAACATAATTAAACATTATATTTCTTCGCTTCGACATATTGAAATTTTATAGCTTATTATTCTCTGTTTATTCAATCACTAATTTCTGTAAGTGGTATGATTTCAAAATCTGTGTTCAGCTTATATTTAACAAGACAAATTACGTACATACGTTAAATCATCAGTTATAATCACGAAGAAGAAAGGGTAACGAAATGAATATATATATAAGTGAAAAGTAATAACAGGAAAATTCTATGGCGAAAAAGAACATCTATATTAACGAGAGACGCATGCAAATAATAGGAAAAAATCAATATAGAATGTACTCGATAACATGGAGAAAATTCTGAAGCGGAAATAATTATGAATTTTTCATAGTATTGATAATTTCGAGATTTTTAGCATTACAAGCGATACGAAAAAATAGGATTATCAAAAAGATAAATCTATCATTTATAAGCGTATCATTATTAACTACAGTGGTGCACAAATTTGCAAAAAAAAAACTAAATATTGAAACATTCCAGATGTTATACATAATTCTTGAAGTCTCATCGGGCATGAGAATATATTAGAAATTAAGTTTATGTTAAAAATTCGTATTTCGTAATGTATTTTTATTGCTTTTTATCCCTTAGATCTGTGAACATCTAAAATGTAGTGAGATAAAATTTAGTTCATTTTTTTAGTACTTACAATAGTGACTTTACTTTATCAAGAATTTGAGAATGTCAACTAATCGATTTTATTATTTGTTAAATAAAGTAATAGATAGTAAGCATAGATCACTATAAATCATATTATTTTTCCTAGATTCAACAGAAAAATCCAAGTTAAATATTCTTTCCAGTTCACGTTGTTTGTCTATAGTTTGGTTCAAATATTTAATTACAAATATTTGATCGTAAATGTATCATTTTTTCTTTCTCTCCTAATAAAAAGACCGTATTACATATATTTAAACAACTGAAGAAAAAAAAAAGATATGTAATGTTTTTACGATTCATAAAAGTTATTGAATTTAAACTTCACTAGAACCTTGTACATAATCCCAATCGACATTTAAATGATCTCGTTTAAAAAATAATTTAAATTTATCAATACTATCTGTATCTCGTTCTAATTGCCATAATAATTGACATGTACAAACAGGTTTTGAATATGTTAATGTTGTTGGTGTTATTAAATTTGTTCCTAAACATTCATTTGTTGATTCACTTGATGATTCATTTTCAATATCAACTTTTTTAATTGATGATATTAAATCATGATTTGTATTTGAATGAAATTTTTTTCTTGTACTTTTATGAATTTGTTTTTTTAAATCATTTTTATGATTATTTAATTGATTTGTTGTATAAATACAATCAGGTGAATGATTTTGAACAATAGTTGGTTTTTCATTTGTATCTAATTCATTATTATTATTATTATTTGGAGGATCTAAAGATGTTATTGATATATTAGGTAAATCTATACCTAATGCTGCCGGTATATTATCTAATGTTTTTTGACTTAATATTCTTGTACGATATGGTAAATCATCAGAACTAAATTCAGGTAATGGTGCTTGTGGTGAACCAGATAAACGTCGATGATGATGATGATACATCCATTGATCAGGATAAGCTGATAATGAACTTGATGGACGACGATCACTACCAAGTAAATCATTTGTACGTAATGATGATGCTGCTGAATTAACAAATTCAGCTTTTAAACGTAGAGTATTACCAAAACGAATACGATGTAAAACTGAACGACGAAATAATGATGAACCTTCACTATAACGATAAGATGATATATCACTTTTTGATGTTGTTGATGAACCAAAATGACAACGAATATCTTTATTTGTAGCAAATGCACTAAAAATAAATAAAAAAAAGCAAATTCTTTTCTTTGCTGATTTTTTTTTTGTTTTACCTTCGATTATTTTTTTCTGGTTTAAATATAATTAAATAAAGTTTAGGAAAAAATAAAAATATAAGTATAACATATGCACTTGCATTTGTTGCAACACATAATGAAAATACTTTAATATCAATAGCAAAATAAACAGCAGCAAATGCTAACCATATAACACATGTTGTATACATTGAAAAACCAATAAATTTTGCTTCTATTAAAAAAAATAAAATAATTTAATAAAAATGATTTAATTAATATTTGTTTTACCGTTAAAATTTTCAGGTAAATTTCTCGTTTTAATCTAAATTAAAGTTCAAGAAATAAAATGGAAAAAAAAATAAGGAAACTTACTGCATAAAGTGTACATAGAAAAACTAGTAGACCATCAAAACCAAGTGGAGCAGCAATACCTTGAAGTGATTTTTTACCTAATGATATAAAACAAATTATATTTATTTGTTGTCGAACAAGGAAATCTTTTCAACCGATCAATCGCTTTTTTGTTAACTCAAGCTAGTGGATCATAGGTTAGTCGACCATGCTGATTCAGAATAATGAGATAATTACAAAAGAAAGGAACAGAGAAGTATCTAGAATACTAAAAGTATTACTTTTGCCTTCCGTTCTTAAGAATGTATAACAATCTCAGATAAAAAGATAAGTATAAATGTAGAAACATCTTGATGTGTTTAAAAACGTTTAGATAACACGGTTTGAGATATGTACTCATTTCTTGGGAATGGAACGTTGACACCGCTAAATATTGTTAACATTTGATTTAAAAACTGCATTATAAAATGAATATTTATCATGGTCCCTTTTAACTAATATCTATATATAGGGTGATTCAAAAGTAATCCGGCAGTCTTTGATTGCAAATAACTTTTGATAGAAACAAGATAGAGAGTTGCGGTTTTCATTGTTCGAAAGAGGAGATGAAGACGCATCAAATCACATATTATAGATTTTTCTAAGATGTGTTCTTAATCAATTTTCTAAAAAATTTGCCGGAAAAATGGTTTCTTAAAAAATAAGGAAAACGCAAAAAAAAGTGATTTTTTCACAGAAATTAATAGAAAAAAATTGGCTTAGAATTTCCAATAGAATATCTATAACTTCCACAGGAGTAACTCTCAAAGTCTGGGCTTTGGACAATTTTTGTAGGTTTTCTACTAGCGGTTCGAATGTACATTTGATCATAAAAATTCAATGTGGTCACCTTATGGAATACATTGGTTTTCAAAAACGTCGGTTTAAGTCCTTGAAAAAACTAGGTCCACTTATCTTATATTATACAGTTCAATGCATCTTCATCTCCTCTTTCGAACGATGAAAACCACAGCTCTCTGTTTTATAATTACAATTGTCTTAATCTTTCGTATTTAAATTAAAAAATATTTTAATCGAATAATATAATCATAGAATCTAAATGACTTATATTTGAATTATTCGTTCAGAAATAATATTCATTGAAAAAAAACCAATCTTACATGTTAATAATAAACGTCCACCAGTTTCAATCAATACTGCTTTAGGTGGATCTCTGTACACAGTAACAGCTAAACAAAAAAAAAACAATCATTTAAAAAAAAACTTGTTAACATCATCTCTGTGGAATAAAAATGTGAAACACGATATATCTATTCTTGCTAATCACAAGAAGATTAGTTTGTTCTCACTATTTTGGGACATATTTCTTCACTATGTTTTTATTTAATCCTTCAGAAATACAATAACGAAGTAGTTCATATATTAGAAAAAGATGTTATTGATATAAGATCTATCACAGTCGGTGAACAGGTCTAAATTTTTACCCCTATACTTCAATACTCTTTTCAGATCGTGTTTCACACACAAAAGAAAAACCAAGACAAAATTTCATTTTTTATTTAAATAACTTACCAACAATTGTAACTTCAGTAACAAGTATAAAACAAGCAATTGCAAGTTGATGTCTAGCGCTCATAAATTTTAATCGTCTTGTTATAATTTTCTTTTTACTTCTTGCTAAAATTCTTGCTATACGATTTGTTTTTGTAACTAATGAACCATATATCATTGAAAATGATATACCTGGTAATAAACGTGTTAAAACACATATAATAAATGATGGTTTTTGTAAAATAACAAATGCTGTTAAATGACAAAATAAAATTCCCATTAAAATTAAATAACTTAATTCACGTGTTGTTGATTTAACAACTGGCGTAGCATTAAAACGTACGAATATATAAACAACAAAAAAACTTATTAGAATACCAATACCAGCAACAAAACATATTATAATTGATAATGGATGACGAAAATTTATTGTTGTTATTGGTAATAAACCACAAGCTAGAAAAATAAAATAAAATTCGATACATGCAAGGATTGAAGAGGAGGGGGAAAGACTGCTCATTGGATAACATTCACAATTAATTAGTAATTATCAAAATTTATTTTTCAGTCTTCTCTATGATTCTAAGATTCAACAGTCTTTTTAATAATTCGTCTCGATTTAATTTCAAATGTTTTCAGTTTGAATAATAATAATAACCTGTTTGATCAGCATTAGGTGAAAATCCAACTGGACAAGTAAAACATGTTGATTCGTCAAGTACAATAGCATTAGCACAGAAATGACATTTCCAACAACAACGTTCTTCATCAGTAAATTTCTATAAGAAATAAATAGTAGAAACGAAATATCAATAAAAAAAAAAAACTAACTTTAATATGACCTGTTGGACAAGCATCACTACAAAATCGACGAACATTTATTTGATTTATTGAACGTTGATCAGCAAAAAAACGTATTGATGATATATTTAAATTTAATTTACCAGTACTCCATGTTCCAACTTGAACATAATGTAAAGGATGTTCGCTATCATTTGTATTAACTTGTAAATTTAATACATCATATCTTAAAATAAATCAAAAATTAAATTATAAATTTACAAAAAATTTCTTATAATATACCTTCCAGGACCATCACCATTTTCATCAAAAAATACTTCTTCACCTAAAAAACAAAAAACAAAGGATTTTCAATAGTTAATCCTCTTTTGTTTTTTTTGTCTTACCAGTTATACCAGTAAATCGACTACTTTTTAAAAAATGCATTAATAATGATGTATTCATACGAGCCATTTCTGTACATAAACCATTTGTTCCATTACAAATCTATGTTTTATATATATATATTTCAATAAATAATATTAAATAATATTTATATTTTAAATTACTTGTTTATGCATTTTATCTAGACCATGTACAACAGCTAATATTGAATTAATAACAAATGCAAGTTTAGGATCTTCATTATAAGGTACTTTAGCAAGACTTTCATTTTCAGGATGACATGATCGAGAATATTTATTTGTTCGACTTATATAAGAATTATTATTAAAACTATTTAATGAACAAGAAAATTTTTGTTGCCAATATTCACGAAACCATACATTTCGTGTATTATTATATACATGTAATTGACGAAAATATTGTTCAAAACCAGGTACACGTAATGAACGAGCTTTGATCTATTTACATATAAGAATGTTCAAGTATATATCGAATAAATTGTATTTGTATATTTTTTTGTCTCACAAAAAAAAATGGCATTGAAACCTTTTAAGAATCTTTTATCATCTCTTAATTTGATTACAAACATTCATCGTCTTGTTTCACATTGCAATCAGTATCATATTGATGGGCGGCTACGTTATCCGGTACGTATCCGAGCGATACTGCGTTCATATCTCAGTACCATCAGCTGTGAATAAGTTATTAACGACTATTTGGTTTAGATCATCTGCCCAATAGCATGCTGACTAAATTATGGCATACACCTGCCCCAGTGACTAGTATGTAGTTAGTCAGTAGAGCTCATCAGGTCCAAAATTTTCGAACCTCATCGCATCGTACTTTGATAATCTCAATGAAATTTTCTAACCGAAATTGGATGGCCGCTCAGAAGATATGAGATACTTTTCCCAGTTTTTTGTATTCGGTGACTAGTGCACCCTACACATTTTTCAGACAACTAAAGCTCGTTGGGGCTGGGACCTACTCGACGGGTTGTCAGTGTGCAACGAGAGCTCAAACGATGGAGCGTAAGAATTCTACATCAGACTCGAATATATTTCAACGCAGGCGTAGTCTTCCTTGTGTACAACATATTAATTTCACTATATAAAAAGATATGTTAATTCTTACTGTAATAGCACCCAATGCTACGCTTTCTGTATTATTTGGTATTACATTAAGACGATCAGCCCAAGCATCACTAAAAATAAAAATAGAGAAAAAAAAACAATTTGCTTATTTTATTTACCTTCCAAGAATAATAAATCGTTGAGTATAATTTAATTCTTTAATTGCTTGTAATACAGCTCGAACAGAATGATCAAGACAAAAGCATATAAGTACTTGTACACGTGGAGCTCGTATAACAAGTTGTCTGATTAATTGAGAAGCTACTGTTACATTTGCACCGATTGGCTATGAAATGAAATGAAATGAAGAATATGATAAATAGAAAAACATAAAATAAAAGAAATTATATCATTCACCATTGTAAAATCTGCACCAATGCATGCATCTTTTTTAAGTAAACGACGAATAGCTTCAACACCGCCACGACCATAATCACCTACATATATTTTAATTATTTATTTATTTAGAAAAAAAGAAATATATTTTTTTCTTTTATTTAATTTACCTTCGGTACCAATTGTTGCAACATAACTCCATTTAAATTGTCGAATAATATCTACAATAGCTTGTGCTTGTTGTGTATCTGATGCAATAACACGTGTAAAATATTTAAATTTTTCTTTATCACTTAATTGTTTAGCTGTAGCTGAATATCCAATTTGTGGCATTTCAAATAATTGTAAAATATTATGTGTTTGCATTGTTATTGAACTATCACCTGGTCCAATAATAGCTGCTAATCGAGATCGACCACCATTACTAGTCATCGTTGAATCACCAGTAGTTAATACTGAATGTCCAATAAATTCAATTGTTTGTTCAAGTGCAACAGGTGCATACCAACATGAATCACGTATTTGATAGCCTATAGTTATATTTGGTAATATAGATTGATTTGCATTGACTATGAATAATAATTATTATTAATTAAAAAAAAAAAAACTTTTCTTTTTTTTTTATTTTACTTTGATCGAGAATCCAAAAAGTACCTTCTACACGATGTATACCATAATCTTCACGAATGTCACCACTAACAAAAAAAAAAAGATATTTTATATTTTCGAAAATTTCTTATTTACCATTCTCGTAATCGACCACCGCCATGCGATAGAGGAGGATGATGTAAAGAAAAAAAAGCGCCAATGACAATGTCAACTTCAGATGCACGTGACACAGCTAAAAATATATAAATTATAATTTAAGATTTATGACTGAATATATCATAGAAATAAAATATTTGATTCTCTAAATTTTTGTCGAAAATATCAAAAAATTCGAATATTGAAAGCTAGAACTGAAGAACTGTACCCACGCTAGAGCCCTTCGGGTTCAAAGTTTCCGGATTCGATTGATGAAATTTTTAATAACTTGCAATAACTAACAAGTATCACTGATAAGTACCTATCTGAGCTTTATGACTATTTTTGGGGCACGCGAAGAGTTTGAAAAATAGCCTTCTATGAGAAATGACGAGAAAAAATCGATAGGTTTGTGCTCATTAGTTTTGCTCGACTAACATTTAATTTCTTTGTATTTCCATAGATCTTAACTGCTTATGGTGTATAGCCTTAAAAATTTACCATTTCTCAAATAAAAATCATATCTATTCTTATCATATATGAAGTCATTTAAATCAATGTATTTATGTATAAAATGAATAACAAATAATCTCTAAAGATGTCTAACATATTCACCTGATAGACGATTAAAATAACACATAACAATATGAGAATGTGGGAAGATAGTAAATAGCCATATAATGATGAAAATATGGGTCAAAAAATGATTTGTTCCCCAACGAGACAGTTTAGAAAGCTGCTCAAACATGGAGATAATAACAAGAGATAATAATAGCAAGGCAACAAATATAAATAATATAAATTAAGAATCAACGATTTTATAGTAACATGATATATGGAGAACATTGATTTGTATAATAAAGAGAAAAATTTTAACTCATATGTTGTTTGAGTACCATGAGCCATTACAATGCTTCATTGTTCTTAACAAAAAATAAAATTCGAAAGTTCTAAAATAAAAACAATAGAAATATAATTATTCATTATTTTTAATCAAAAATTTTTGTAATTATTAATAATCTTACTGTTAATTACGCATACAATTTTGTTTTGATTCTTTAGTAATCGTTCTATCTATTAATAATAAGCTATGCACTACACTAATATTTTTCTTTGGTTGTCGGCAAACAACTCGTATGTGAGTGATGTTCAATGATTACTGTTCAAGATTGCCAGTCTTCTTTCACTCTTTTTCCTTTATTATTTTTTCTTCTTGTGCTCAGATAGACGATCGTCTTTTCCCGCTAAGTCATTCCTGCTTTGTATTGCCGATATGTCGGGCGTAGACTAAGAGACGTTATCTGAATCGAATTAAGTTAGTGTTCGTTCTTCTTTTTTTCTCGATCTCTTTCGTTATCCGTTTATGCTAACAAGAAAAACTTCAAGCTTGAGATACAACAAAGTTTTCATAGTTAAAAATAAGTCATCATCAATATATAACATCAACATTATTAAATAGCCATACAATTCTTAATATAGCAATTCTTTATAAGCATATTTTAATCAAGATTAATATAATCCATTTGTTCTCTAGATATTCATCAGTCACGCTTGTTCACTTCATATTCGAATAGAAACTCTCTTGCTACACACTCCTTCTTCTTCTTTCTTTTTTGACTTTTCTTTTCTCAAGAATGATAAGAAAGGAAAAAAAAACTTTTTTATTGTAGTTAGATTTGTGTCACACACACATGCTAATTCTTTTTTCGTCAATATTGTTGTTGGTTGCCGAACTGATACAAAAAAAAGAAACATCATCAGTACTCATAGTAATGCATGAAAATAAGAGCATTCATTTGCTTCTTCGATCGCATCGTTCAAAATTATAATTCCATATCCTGCTGTTGTTTGTAACGTCAAAGACAAGTTTTTCTTTCTTTAGACGACTCTATTAGCATCGTTTTTAAGGCACAAATATTGAATTTATGACATATATTAAATTAAATATATTCTTCCATAAAAATTCTTTTTTTTTATATAGCGTCAGTTTTAACATACAACAAATGTTTCAACTGTGTTCTATATATATTATTATTTTTTTCATGTGGAATTAAGCATTACTTGTAATTTGATCAATGTTTAGTTTTTAACTTAAACGAACGATTGATATTAGAGGCTTTAGTTAAGAATAAGAAGCATAAACTTGTCTTGAAAAAACAGAAAAAAATACTAATCTTTTAGTTGTTTTAGTTTATGTCCTTTGTAAAAAAAAATATTATTAATGATTTGCCGATGATTCTAAGAGAAATAAATGAACCTTACATAATTTTCATCATTTCTGCAGTGTATTCTTTCTGTTTTACTTATTATAGATTTTCTTCAAATTTCTCTTATTTACACGATTTTTATTTACTCATTTAGTACAAAAAAATAGCAGTTATACAAATATATATATATTTAATACAATAAGAAAGAGTGAATATGAAAACATTTCAATTTGTTGAACAAGTCTATAGGAAATATTTCTATATGTATTTATCTCAATAATTTATACCGAATATATTATTTTTAATACAAAGCAAAGAGTGCTTCTTTTTTTTCGACAAACAATGTTATAGAAAAAAAATCAATCTATTATATTGTATAAGAATTCAAGAACAAAAAGAGATTTCTCTAGAATCAAACAACGGCAAAGATCAATGTCAAATAACACTTTTCATAACGGATAATATTCACATGAAACAAAGAAAATAAATATTTTTTTAAAATAGGAACTTTTCTACATATTATATTGTCTTTTTTGCTTTTGAATGTCAAACGAAAAAATTATTCAAGTTTTTAAGGTTTCTCTTAAATGCTAATATGATTCAGGAGAAACTAAGTTTTTGACATTTACATAGAAAATAGTGTTTTGGATTACGTCGTCATCCAGAAGAAACGTACAAATGTCAATCAAATGTTTAGTTTTAGTTCCCACAAACTAGTATTTTAAAGTTTTTCTGTTCCATTCGAACAAAAACTTAACATAAAATGACTTCACTCTTTCTAAGATTGCTAGTGATTTCTGTTATATAATATTATTTTATTCGAAAAGTTCACTTTTTTTTTTTTATTGAAAAAGTTCATTATCAAAACTTGCAATTTAATTATTATTCATACTCATCAGACATTTTAAGCTAAAAGAAAATTGTTAAATATCATGCAACTATAGGAAATGAATTCTTTTCCAATATAATTAAGTAATTGATTTGTCAATTGTAAACGTTTATGAAAAAAAAATAAAACGGAAGAAAAAGACACTATTTCATTTATTTCTTATAACTAATGGCCTATAAATTCTTGAAATGAACTACTAAAAAGTCATACAAAAAAAAATTCTTTTTGTGTTTCATCAACAATATGGAATGGTATATCGTATTTCTTTTTCTTACTGGACATTTCTCCATGACACAAGCTGCTTGTTTTCTACCGATTAAATTCTATATTGATTGTGGAGTAATAAGAACAGCTAGTAGTGCATATCAGCTTTGTCAAAGTCATCAAATGACTGTTTTAAATTTAACTAATGGAACAGCATCATTAATAAGTGATATTGCTGTACTTAATACTACGCTTAAAGCACAAAATTGTAATGGAAATTTTTGGTATTCATCTGGTTCTCAGACAGCTTTAGCTGGTGATGCCGATGGTCTTAGTGGCTTGCTTAACGGTCTTACAAATCTACTAGGTGCTGTTTTATGTATTATACCATTGATATGTCCAGCAACAACA